TCCTAGTATTTAGTCAAATACAATGACATTTCAATAACCATGTATTACAATATATATATATATATATATATATATTGAAATCACATAATAATGATAATAAATCGGTTTAACTCTTCAGTACAGGGTTGGTCAATGTGATGACCTCGTAACCATTTTGTGCTTGTTATAGTTTTCATGCTATAACTTTTAAATTAGGAAAGAATTTCCCGCCATCTGCTGACAACATTTCATCAGGTCCATCATCCTTATTCAATGATTTGAAATTCTTTAATATGTAAATTGGTGTTTTGAGAACTGTATAAATAAGTGTTATTTTGCAAAACAGTACACTCCTGATGATGACGCAAGATATACGTCGAAACATGTAGAGTGTCTGAGATTGTTTTCCAGTCACGTTGGGGATTTTATCACTTTTTAACCTTGTACAGTAAGCTATTATTTTAATATTTTATTTTAATAATTTGGAGACTGGAAACAATCTCATTTTATTGAATTGTGTAAAAAATAATCGTTGTTTTTAAATAAAACTTTTTAGTTTTCAAAAATAAGAAGTTAGTTTGAAATGGCTGAAAATTTCAGTGTGGAAGAGTTTTCGGAAGCAGAATTTATGAAAAGAGAAGAACTTTCGAGGTTGAGAAAATGTATCCATAAAGGCAAAAAATTTTGGAAAATTTGGAATTAGGCCTAGCTAATTTCAATAAATACAAGAGAAAAGACTATCGATGATGAGGAAGTTGATATTATGTATAATAACACAGTAGATGAGTCACAAATTGAAAATACTAACTGAATCTTCAAATTTTGAAAATGTGCAAAATCCAAATCTGACTTTTGAACAGATTATAGATATAAAAAAAGCTTGAATTTGAACAAAGACAAGAAGCTGAAGATTGCAAATTTGAACAATTATTAAGATTTGAAGAGAAAAACAGTAAGAGAAATTAGAATAAAAGAGATCCAAGCTCGAGGTCAAAGAAGTTGTTCTAGATCTGGAGATCAGGCTGGTGGATATGGAAAAACTGTTAACAATGCTAGGAAGTACCTTCCCTCTTTCAATGAGAATGATGTTGATAATTTCATTTTAGTTTTTTGAGAAAATATGTATACTCATCAAAGTTCCTAGAGATAAATGGTCTATGTTATTGCAATCAAAATTAACATGGAAAGCTCCAGAGGTTTTTTCAGTTTTAAATCTTGAAGAAACATGAACAAATCTCAGAGAAATACAGGCAAAATGTTAGACAAAGTACTAAATTATCTACTGTGTCATATGTTGACGTTGCTAGACACAAAGAAGTAGAGTTAGAAAAATAGCTTAAATTTAAATCTGTGGACAAAGACTGAAAAATGTAGACAACTCATTTTGATCAAAGAATTTCTGTACAGGGCACCTTTTAATGTCAAGTTACATACTGAAGATAAAAAAGTTGAGACTTTGTCAGATGCTACAAAAATTGGTTGATGAGTTTGTTTTGATTCACAATTCAGTTTGATCCAAAAATTCAAACTTCAAAAATTGTGGAAATTCTGGTTTTATTGCTAGCAAAGACAAAGAGAATGAACAAGACAAATCAGGTTAATCAAAATAACACAAATTCTGAAAGAAAAGTTGAAAACTCAAACATTTGTTATTATTGTAAGAGACCTTTCCATTTGAAATCAATTTATTCAAAACTAGAATACAAGAAAAACCTTGAACAGTCCGAAAATAAGACTAAACCTAAAGGAAGTAATTTTTACAAGTCAGTTAGCTCTAATGGATCCAAGTGCATGACAGTTTTGGAACCTGAACCTTTGGGTTTTGATCGCTTTATGGACAAAGGGATTCTTTCATTTAGTAATGCTAGTCATTCTGTTGTTTGTGTCCCATTGCCCATTACTTTGTTTAGAGATACTGGAGCAGCTCAAACTTTGTTAAAACAAAGTTCAGTTCTGGAAAATATGCTGTCCCCCCGAGGGTAAAAGTATTTTGATGCAGGGAATCTGTGATGATTACACTTCTGTACCTATGTATAGGATCCACTTAGAAAATGATTATGTTACTGTTCCTGTAACATTTGGACTTGTTGCTGAACTGCCCATTGAAGGAGTTTCATTAGTTTTAGGAAATGATGTTGCAGGCAACTAGGTTCATTTCATGCTGATTGTGTAGGATGTTCATGTTGGAGATGAGAAGACGGAGGACCTGAACATGGCTTTTCTAGAAATATTTCCATCTTGTGCTGTTACTAGGTCACAGACTATGACTTGTCAGGAGTCTGATTGCAAATGTCAGGCTAAGTTGGATAAAAATTCAGACCCTAATGACAGTTTTGGTTTGAGCACTACATTTTTTGTAGATTTAGAATTTGGAGACAAATTAGTTCCTTCATAGAAATTTAGGGTGAATAAGCAAACTTTGATTGAGAGACAATAAAAGGATCTGAGTTTTATTCCTCTCCAAGAGGAAGTCATCTCAGAACAGGAAGTAGAGAAACACCCTGTTTGTTATTACTTTCAGGATGGCGTGTCGATGAGGAAGTGGAGGGATGTTAAAACTCCTGCTAATGAGATTTTGCAAACTAGAAACCAAATTGTTGTACCTGAAGTTTACAGACAGGAAATTATGTCTTCAGCTGGACATCTTGGAGTTTGAAAAACTAAGTTGAGAATCATGCAGCATTTATGTTGGCCTGGACTAGGGAAAGATGTAGCTGAATTCTTGTAAAACATGAAAAACTTGTCAAATAGTTGAAAAACTCGTATTAAAATTTGTAAAGCACCTTTGAAACCTATTCCTTCTGTCAAAGAACCATTCTGTAGAGTTAATGTAAATATTGCAAGTCCCTTCAAAAATAGATTTTTGTTGACAATCTTGGATCAGGCAACTAGGTATCCCAAAGCTATTCCTATCAAAGTAATTTCTGCTACCACTGTTGCTGAAGGATTGATTAATTTTTTCTCCCATTTTGATGAACCGAGGAAAATTCAAAGTGATCAATGTAGTAATTTTCTGCCACAGGTTTTCCAGGAAATCTTGAAAAAATTGTGCATCAAGACACTTAGGTTGACAAGTTACCATCCTCAGAGTCAGGGAGCACTTGAACGTTATCATCAAGTTTTGAAAAACATGCTCAGGAATTTTTGTTTGGAACACAAAGAAGATTGGGACTTAGGGACACCGTTAATTTTCTTTGCTACAAGGGAAGTTCCTATTAAGTTTGTTGGAATTTCTAGTTTTGACATGATCTTTGCTCACAATGTTGCTCAAAGACAGCTGGTTGGAAAATAAAGGAGACCATTCTAATATCCTGGATTACATTTCAGATTTTAAGGAAAGATTGAATGCAGCAGTGGACACAATTCACAAATATTTATTAGTGAGTCAAGAAAAAATTAAAACTTGGTATGACCATAAAAGTCAGGCTAGATCTTTTGAAATCAGAAGTAAAGTCTTGGCATTGCTACCTATTCCAGGTAGTCCCTTGAAGGCTAGATTTTGAG